TGGGGCTGGCACAGTGGCTTCGCTCCTGATTTATTCTAATTGCTCCGGTTGAGAAAGCTCTTCAGTTCTCAAGTGTTTATCTCCCAAATTATCTTTGCTTTAATTGCTTGTAGTAAGCTTAACGTGTGTGGTTGGGTCTCTGACCTTCTCCACTCTTCATAGGTTTAACAAAGCGATTCTGCTCACCACCAAGTGTTGTTAAGTCTAATGTGCTGCTAAATCTGACTTTGTTTAAAGTAAAAGTTCAGCCGCCTGTATCAGGAGGGTATTCTGGAGTAGAGAGGATTTAAAGTGGGAAAACAGCTGGATTGACTTTCAACATCATAAATTGCTATCTGTTACTGTCTGAAACATGCAGATGCTTGGTATTTACTTTTTTATTTTCTGGATTTTTCTGGACAATTGATGCATAGTTAATGGCAGTGAATTCACTTGAAGGCAAGTCTGTTTGATAGAGATCAAACCTATTAGTTTTGGGGTAAACTCCTAATTGTGTCATTTTTCTTTACCAGACCTTTCCCCCCAGCATCCCATCTGCATGTACTTACCTGGACCTTACCACCTGCTACTGCAACATGCTCTTTAAAAGAGCAGTGACAAACCCCTGCAATCCTGTCCTGTTTGGCTCTTATTTTTGTCACGTTTTCTTGGAGCAAGCAGTGACCACTCATGTCACCTGAGTGGGGCAGGAATAAGCAATGCCTTGAGTATTAACTAAGGGGGTGATGCTTGGGGTGGGGGGGGGAAGTGAAATCTCATTTCCTGTAACTGAGTTTGGGGTAAACTGGTGATGCAAGCTCGGATTTACTTGCCTGTTTTGAGCAAAGTGGTGACAACTTAGTGATGATGCTGTTGGAAGTGCAGGAAAGGCAGAGCATGGTTCAGTCTGGGTAGTTTCACTTGTGTGAGAGAGTTCCAGAGTCCAGGTGGACTGGAATCCCTGGAAGGGGATAAAGTAACCCAGGCTGACTTTGGCATTACTGGTAGTAAACAGGTGGTGTCAGAAATGCTGGCAGTCCTAAGGATATTAAATATCATCTGCTTCGTCCTGAAAGAGTAGCAGTTCAGAAGAAAGAAAGGTAATTTGATGTACCAGTAAATAGCATCTAATTAAATAGTTCAGTGTGGATAGTAATAGCTATATGGGTGAGAAAGGTTTATTTTTGTGGAATGTAATATTTTGAAGTCCATGGGATGTTTTTTATTTACCTTAACTGTTTGAAAAATCTATGAACTTGAGTGCCAAAATGGAGTTTTTCTTCCCATAGCCAATTCCTAGGTTGTCTTGTGCTGACATATTTGGGAGTCTAATAATCTCCTATAGTAAACGTGAAGGTGTTTTCTCACCTTTATATACATGTCTATATCAAAAGCAACAATCTTAGAATATTCTGGATAAGTTTTGGGTTTTTTACCTCATTAGCTTGTGGAGAAGTGATGAGCTTATACTCCTGAGTAGGATGAAGAGCTTCTTCACTAGGATTCCTCTAGATATTCCTCATGCTTCCAGGGAAGTCTGATGCAATACACAGCTTGACACCTGCAATTTAAGTACACTCAGTAGGCCATAGCAGCATCTTAATAAATAGCCTGGCAGAGAGAGCTTCTAGGAAAGCTTTGTCCAGGAAAAGCAGAAACTTTTTGCTATGTTGTGTGTCTGGTTATTCCTTTTGCTGTCACTTCAGGTTTTTGTGCTGCAATGACCTCTTGATGCTTTGGGCAAAAGTGCTTCAGCAACAGGCTGAGCATATGCTGGTCCTGTGTGTTTGACACTGTAGGCTGTAGGAGAGAGAATTCAGCTCTGATGTGGCTGCTTGTGTCCATTGATCTTGCCCTCAGTACTGGTGGGTGCTCTGAGGAATTCTTGAGGCTCTCTAGGTTGTCCTTTAATTAAAAACTTCAAGTTAGGAGCAAAAGTTCCCTGTGTTCACTGCAGGGTGCAGGAGGACATGGGTACTTCTGGGGCTCTTCAGCACATCTGTAATATAACAGATAAAGTAAAGAACTAAAGGAGATAGTGTGAATATTCCTCCCACTCTCTAGTTCTTTAAATAACAGCTGTTGCAGGTTGCTGCATAACAGCTCAATGCAGCAATACCATAACAGATCTTTCAGGGCAAACATGAGGGGATGGCTGAAGCCAGAAAGGGAGAAGTGTGAGGAGACATGCAGTGATTCAGGATGTCCTCATGGATTGGTATGAGGAAGTAGTGCTTGTTGTAGAAGTCCCAATAAACAGGACAGATTTGGTAGGGATGATGGATGGCTCATCCATCACTGTAACTATGAAGCAGCTGCCTTGTCTCCTTGCCATATACTGAAAAAAACCCCAAAACTCATTAAAAAAAAAAAGGGACTCCTGGACCTCCATTACTGTATGGCCATGGTGTGCCTGATGACTTGGCTAGTGAGGACAAACCTGGTGTTAAACAGTCTGTGTGGTGCCATGTCATCCCCCCAGCAAGCAAAGCGACAGGTTTGACTGGATGAAGGTGGTTGCTGTTAAGTAATGTGAACATGTATTTTGAAATCTGCCTAACTTTTGAGTCATCCTTTATTATATGGTTTAATGTGTACAGGTACTTGTGCTTGATGTATCTGTCTAATGGCATCACTCTTGCCTGTGGGATATAATTGGCTTTCAGAAGATAATTTCAGAGTCCACCCTGTTTTTTGTTTGAACAGTGTGAACGTTTGAACAAAATTAATGTCAAGACTTTTTTTTTTTCTTTCCTCTGGCAGGAATTCACTGCCTCAGTGTTAGGATCACTTGCAACAGCAGTTTCACTGCATGAGTTCAGAGTTTTGCCCCTGGTATCTTCCTTCTGTTTAAGCACTCAGGCTGGAATGTGCCAGTATAAGTCCTGCAAAACCTCTGCAGCTTGTTTGGATGTGTGAGGGTAACTTTCTGCCCCTTTGCTGAGGGATAAGCTTTACACTGTTTAATTTTACTTATTCACAGCTTGCACATAAACAGACTTCTGTGCTTTCTGTTGAGTGGCATCATGTGTGTGCTGTGGTGAAAACTGATTTTGTGGACCAGATGTGGATTTACAGTCAACTTGAAATATCCCATTGCAAGTTAAGTTTCCTGAATGTGTTAAGAACTACTGAATTGGAGGGCAAGAGACTAAAGGTCAAAAACTTGTCCCTCTTTTCTCCTCATCTGTGTTCTTGATGTGGCTTTCAAGATTATTCAAAAGCACATGTTTGCAGGCTCTATTGTTATTAAATATGACTTTTTTTTCTTTCTGCTTCCTCATGTAACCTCTATCAAGTGGGTCACACCGACACTCACAATAATGAGTCACGTCAACAGTAAATGCAAACCATATGGGTTTTTTCCCCCCCTTTTACACATTGCTTTTAGTTACTTTGTAAACGCTGACTTGAATTTAAACTCTGTTCAGCACCTGAATATGTCTTTGGGATGGGGAACTGTGTGTTTGGAGGTTTCTGTTGAGAAACCAGAACTTGATGTCATCACTTGCACTACACTAAAGCGTGTCCTTTGCCACAGATTTCCTGTGTAACCTCAGACAAGTCATTTAATCCTTTTTAATTATTTTTTTTCCACGCTTTTGTTCATCTGCTTACAAGTGGGAATGTTGTGAGGCTTCTTTAGAGTACTGCAGAGCAGACCCATGAGCTGTGATGAAGAGTCTCATTTTGGGTAGTGATCAACAGGCACAGAATAAAAGATATTTATGTTTGGGGACTAGGTACCCAGAGTGTAGGAGGAGAAACAAGCTTGGTGGTGAAGTGATTTGCTCATACTCACTTAATAGGTTTGTGACAGGACAGAGACTGGGTCCAAACAGTTTTTGCCTAATGGCCCAAATACTGCAGCCAATAAACCAGTCTCACACAACTCGTTCTTCTAACTGGAGTGCCTACAGTGTCATACTGGGGCTGTGAGTCACTTTGGGTAAAGAACTGGTGGGTCCAGTATCAGTGACAGGCAGAAAGGGTGTTTAGAGCTGTCCTCAGCTTAGGCTGTGGGCAAGCAAGCCACAGGGATTTTTGATTTACTAGTCATCCTTCTTGTGTGGTGGTTTACACTCTTTTCATTAGCAGCTGCCTCTGGGACCCCCGTGTTGCTCTCCTATGCTATCTCTGTGAAATGGCTCTTGGGGTGTTGATTTTTGGCTGTGGTGCTAGAACTGATGGTGGCTCTACACCCCAGAGATAGTAAATGGCCATGTACACCTTCTTTTTTTTTTTGGTTCTTTTTGGCTTTTTAGCTGTTTGTCTGCTTGTAGCCCATCAGTGCTGGGCAGCAAAATGCTAAGCTAAGCTTAAGCCTCAGGCTGGGGAGCAGTTGGGGAACAGGTACCTACCAAAGAAAGCAGCACAGTTCAGAGCTTCCCTAGCTATGACTGGGGAGTGCAGTTTCATCTCTCCTTTCTCTACATCCCAATTTGGAGACTGGGGCTGCCCAGCTGGACCAGAGGGTATCAGTAGCACCCAGAGCATTGCTTTGCTGCACTTCACAGGGTGAGCTTGGCATCCCTCCCAGTTTCAGATCCATTGGGAATATAGACTTGGAAGGGGAACAAAGTACTTGGAGAAAAGGTGGAGTCTGATCTGTGAAGCTGGAGAACATGCTGGCCTGAGCCACCAGGAAGGGAGTTTGAGTGTACGTGTTTCACTTAGTATGCACCGAGTTGTTTGCCACAGCTCAGCTGATGAGCAGCAACTGAGGCTGTAGTAATTTAATTGCTTTTGATCATGTGCTTATATCCTATTTAATTTGGAAGCCAATTACTACTGGTTTGACTTTTCTTTTGGGAGATGGCTTCAAATTGTCCTGTAATATTAAGGTTGCTGTGTTGCAAGAGACAAGTGGTTCTGACCACTGCTGAGCTGGATGGACCAACACTCAGTGCTGTCCTGCTCTTCCTGCGTTTGTTGATGTGGGTCTTTGAAGGTTTGAGGTTATGACAGTCACGTTGCTAGCTCTGTCATTTCTCTAACTTTCCCTTTCTTTCTTCCCTCAGTGGCTTGACTCACGAGTCTCACAAGAAGGATGTTGAACAGGTCTACCTCCGCTGTTCCGAAGGCTCCATAGAGTGGATGTATCCCACGGGAGCACTCATAGTCAACCTGCGACCCAATATTTCACCTGCCTCTTACAAACATTTGACTGTTTGCATAAAGCCCTTCAAGGACTCTGCAGGAGCAAATATTTATTTGGAAAAAACTGGAGAACTGAAACTCTTGGTCCGAGATGGAGACCGCAGCCCCAGCAGAGTGTATTGCTTCGGCTACGACCAGGGGGGTCTGTTTGTGGAGGCCACTCCTCAGCAGGACATTAGCAGGAAGATTACAGGCTTCCAGTACGAATTGATGAGCAAGGGGTTAGCAGCTGATTTGCACACAGCTTCTGGTGAGTTCCGGGGTATTGGTCATACTTTCACGTCCTGTACTGGATGTATAACAGATGGCAGAGTGAGTGAGTGGGAAAGTGGTTGGGGCTGAGTTTCGTGTGCTTTTGAGGACATGTTTTATAAACAGGCTTTTGCGGAAGAATTGATAATTTTATTTTTTTTTGCTGTGTTGTTGTTTTTTGGAAGCTGGTAGGTAGCACAGTCTGAGTTCCAAATGATCTGGTGAGGGCTGCAGTGGGGAGGATTCTCCCCAAGCAGGCGTGGGGTGTGTTGCAGCAGTTGGCTTTACCCTACCATGAACTGTGGCATGAACTGTGCTTCCCAGCCTTGCTGTAACACTTTTCTAACTACTTTTTACTCAGTTTTTAAGACCCTGCTGCATGTTTTGAATAATAAGCATTTAAACAAGGAGGAACTCTTTTTCTCTGGTGTTTTTTCCCCTTTGCAACTAGTGCTACTTGCTGACCTAATTATTGCTTTTTCTGGTTTTTTTTTTGTTTTTTTTTTTAACATGAGGAAAATGGTGTGTTCCTTCCTCTGCTTTGCTTATTGCACTCTCCTGAGCATTTCTCTGCCATGGCAGAGCTCCTCAACACCATGACAGTACTTTTACAGGGCTAGTGTTGTCTGCTCTCTCAATCATTATGAAAAGCAAGTTTTGTAGGGAGGAATTTTACTCCCAAGGAAAAGCTTGTAGGAAGGGGGAGTGGACAAACTGAAAGAGCTAAAGCTTGTAAAGTCTGATACTAAATAGCATTTGGGAACAATGGCTCTAGGTGTGACCTAATTGTGCTAATTTTTGAGAAGAAAAGTTTGTGGAGCATGACAGAGGGAGAAGGGGAAATTCCCTTTAGATAGTTGGTATCTGGTTCATGCATCTCATCCATTCAGAATTACCTCTAGCCTTTATCCCCCAAACCAAGGAGGGGAGATTTCCAGAATAGCCTAAGGAAGAGCAGATCTAGGCTAATTTGTTCCAAATGACTAGACAGGCTTCAAGATTTAGGTATTTTAAGTGAAGAACCAGACTTGTGGCAACCAGATTTCTCTTTTGAAATGGGAGTGAGGGCAGCCCCACAGCAGGGGAGAGGAGTCCTCAGAGCACCCTGGGGATGGCTCAGCCCAGGGCAGATCCCTATGGAAAGTGAGGCTGTGCAGCCCAGGATGCCCTGTGTAGGCTGGCCAGATTCTGTGGTGGTGATGCCATGTGCTTTGCCTGAGATGCTGCTTGATAAGCAGTGGTGTGGTTTAATTAAACTGCAGCTGTATCTTCCAGGCACTGCATCCCTCAGCCTTCTCTGGGATAAGTGATTGCAGAACTTGTCCTGTCCTCTCCCTTCCCCTGGCTCCCTTCCCAACAGGGCTTTGTATCTTTGTGTATTTGTACACACTCACTGCCCTGACAGCGTTTAGATGTTGTCAGGCCAAGTGGGATGGAGCTTTATTTTTGTGCAGCTCTGAGCTGGGCTGGGATGAGCAATTCTGGGCTCAGCTGGAGGGAGGGCAGGGCTGATGCAATAACCTCGGGAGCTGGTAGGTGGCAGCTTTGCCATTGAAACAAAAAAACTATAAACACAAATATTCCAAGATTTAAGTCACATTCTTTACCTTTGCTGTGTGTGCAGCTGGTAGGTTTGTCTTAAGGGTTCTGTGTTTTAAGCAGACAGCTCTGCTTAAATTATACAAGTGCTGCAAAAAGAAGTGGGGTATCTCTGCAGAGCTGCTTTCCCAGCAAGAGCATTTATGCAAAGATGAATATGCTGTGCAGAATGTCAGCTATGTAGTAAAATTCCATTGCAGAAGACATTAAATACATTGTTTAATCAGTTATTTGGAGAATGTTCCCAGATTCAGTGGTTCTTTCTTTGACAGGCTGTGGGGATGGGGACATAGGAAGGCTAGTGAGAAGTCACTTGAATTCACCAAGAGAAGTCTTATACTTTTTTTTTTTTTTTTTTTTTACCCCCCCAAAATGTGCATATAGTAAAATAATAGGAGATAAACTGCTTGCCATAGCTGGGTTTAGTCTGCATATAGATAGGTTTTCTCCTAAACTTTGCAACCATCCAAAGGACTTGCAGCTGACAATCTTTAGCCAGCACAAACTGCTGTGTTTTCAGAACTAAGTGCTCTTCTTTCCACATAAAATCTTGGAGGTTTTTAAAGCTGATGGGAGTGTTTTTCAGAGACTTCCAGAAGTCAAACTGAGGGCTGAATTCAATTACAGCTTTCCTCTTTGATAGGCACATTAAATCACTTTTTTTGGTGACTGCTGTATTTTCAGCTGTAACAGACACTGGTTGAATTTCAGTGCTGTCTTATGAAACAATGTGGTAGGGAATCTGCTCCATGCTCCAAGTGTCTTGTTTGGCCAGAAGAAGCTTTTTAATAGTTCATCAGCAGAGCCTTCAGGGCAAACTAGGGATCTCTATTGTATTTTAAATTACTTCTCTTGCCTTTTTTTGGATCCCCAGACTCTGGGGAGAGGGTGTGGGGGGTGAAAACACGATGAAAATGCCATACATGACTTTCCACTACTCAGATGAGCACTTTTATTCTCCTATAAATATCTATATGTCTGGGGAAACTGCCAAATAGCTGCACTGTGAAGCTTCCATTGAGCAATATATTTGGGGCTCTTTGCAGTTCGTGGACCTCCTTTTCTTTCTGGAGCTGCTTCTACTTTTCCTGTGAAACCTCCAAAGAAATGTTCTTTACTGAGCTGTTCATTTGGAGGGGAAGTTTACAATCAATTCACTGAAATCACTGGGGGCTTTATCAGAGAGGAGGCTCAAGCCAGAGGCAAGTGTTGACCTTAAAGGAGGTGAAAACTGGGTTTAAGGTTCTGCGTTTCCTTCCAACCTTATTTCTTGTCCTGTGCTCACAAATGTGGCTTATGGTGTTTTTTGGCTGCTGCAGACTGGTAAAAACGAGGGTGCTCATGTCATAGTTGCAGTTTAACAGAGCTGAGCAGAACTGACAGTAGGTGTGAAGAGATGACAAAGATGTGAGATGCTGTTGGAGATGGGCACTGAGATGTGCTGGGCAGAGAAAGCTGCAGTGCTTCGCCTGATGGTTGAAAGTCACAAATACTGCACTATTTTCTCAGTAATCTCCCCCATTCCTCAGTCCTATCATAAAAGACCCAGGTGTGGGGCTCAGCAGTCCAGCCCTTTCCTTGTGCAATAACTACTTGCTAACAACTTCTCCCCACTTTCCCTAAACGCTGTGTTTGTTTCCTGGTGATAATTGTTGTACTCTGCCCTTGAGTTTACTCTCTCTTCCTAACCTGGCATCCCAGCTCTGATTAAAGAGTGTAAGTCATCTGTTTAATACTTTAATGACCTGTTGTGTCCTCAGAGTCCTGACATTGCAGGGTGCATCAACAAATCAACAATGCTTGGCAGGGTGCCTGTGGTTTAATTAGAAAACCTCAAGTTTTATTAGTTTACAGCCATTCTTTCCCACTTAATCAGAGTCTAGCAAATAATTCAGTAGAAAGCATATGCAGGTTCTGAATTGGCCTTTCCCTTTTCTTGGGGAGGTTGAATGACACAGGGCAGTCTTAAAATTTTCCAGATTTTTTGAGTTTAACCCTTTTCTTGCCTTTGATTCTGCCTTAACACATAAGACCTCCGAAACTCTAGGAAGTATTTGTAGTATACTGATGGGTTTTAATTCAGATTGCTGACATCTGGTGTGGGAAGTTACTGTGAGAGGAACAATCAAAAAAAGGGGCATTTCTGGCAGGTTGTAGTTTCTTAGGGTGGGCAAAGGAGTGAAGACAAACATGCCACAGTGCTTCTCACCATTCAGTGGGAGTAGTCCCTAAGAAGGGTCACCTTGACAATTCAGCAATCTTGATGGGTGTGTTCTCTTGATACCCAAAGTGATGGGTGACTGAAAGTGCTTTTGATTTCAGATTAGGTTTTTGGGTTGCACCCTTGTATCATTCCCATCCACACTGATGGTCCATTAACTTCAGCTCATGCTTGCAGCCAGGCTCTGAGGCCTGGGTGTTTGCCCAACTGAAGAACTGAGGCACTGTGACATTTTGGCCTGAGGCCATTGGAGAATCAGCAGAACTTGTTGAAGTTGTGGAATTCTTTTGATTCAAATCTCTTCTGCTTGTTCTAGAAGAAAATACCCTGAGTCTCTGCTATACTGTCTACATTGGCAAGTAGGTGGAAGTTTTGGCAAAATTGTTGTTTGGCCATATAGTTCCTAGAAATTTTCTGAAGGTGAGGACCCACATGAGCTGCTCAGCTGTAGTGGAGCATGTGCCTGGTCTAGGTCTGCCTTGCACCACAGCAGGCTGCTTGGATTAAATTCCTATGGAAAGTGTCAATGTCCCTGGAGAGTCATTTGCTTTATGAGTACTTCAGCTTCTGCTCAACTTATTTGAAGCAAGAACCTGTAGCTTTGACAAAAGGTTATGGAGGTGAATCCTCTTCCTCTGTCCCACCAAAGGACCTTTATTTTGTTACCTAAGGTCTGTGTTTCAAGGGTGTCACATCCAAGCTCTGGATCCAGCTTTGTGTAAGCTGTGTAGTTTGCTTTTCCCATTGCACACTCATGGGGATGTCTGTAATTTAGTTGTTAGAGCTCAGGAGGTAAATTGAAAGCCCTTTCATTACCCACCCACTTTTGTGTAGTAAAGAAGTCAAACTTTAACGAAAATGTCCCTTTATCTTGATAGCATCTACTGACTTAGTGCAGGGTCTACTAACAGTTTTATGTTTTCTTTATTAATGCTGGGTACTTGGCTGAGAATATTAATAGATAGGAGGTGCAGCACTCAAATGGGTATCTGAAAAACAAGGCAAAACTGGATAAATCCAGTTCAGTAATTAACAGTATTCAGCTATTTCCTGTATGCTGTTAAGTCACTGGCCTGAGAAAACACACTGGAAATTCTGAAAGCTCATAGCTCTTTGGGCTGTGCCAGTGTTTCTGCTAACAAATGACTTTTTGAAGCACTCCTCTTAACTTCTGCTCTTCAGTGCAGTGTGAGTTTGGCAGAGGTGGAGCACCAATCTGCTATATCTCTGCAGGTGCTAT